GAATACAGCTCCTCAGACTGAGGAAGTCTCTCGGATGAGAGACGAAACGTTTCTACATTTTTTGTTGATTTGCTTTGTTTTTTTTTTTAATGACCAGAGGACCAGATTTAACTTTTTTAGTGGAAACAGAGTGCGTACCTTTCGTTTGATGATCTGTAGATCTTTGTCCACCAGACTCACAGCTGTGTTCCTCACCTTCCTCACTGTTTATCTCTTCATTATGTTGTCCTCTGTCACACTTGAGAAATTCGGCTTCAGTTTGTGATGTCTTAGTTTCCGAATAAGAGACCTCAGGATGACTTTGTTTAGCGCCTTCAGAATCAAAGTCTTCAAGTTCAGTTTGATCTATGTTTTCAGAATAAGAGTCCTCAGGTTGTGGTTGTTCTGTGCTTTCAGAATAAGAGTCCTCAGATTGTTGTTGTTTAGTGCTTTCAGAATAAGAGTCTTTAGGTTGTTTTTGTATTGTGGTTTCAGAATAAAAGTCCCCAGCTGGTATTGAGGTTTCATAATAAATGTTCTCAGGTTGTGTTTGTTCTGTGCTTTGAAAGCAAGAGTCCTCAGCTCTTGTTTTTATTGCACTTTCAGAATATAAATACTCAGCTTGTGTTTGTGTTGTGTTTTCAGAATAAGAGTCCTCAGTTTGTGTTGTGTTTTCAGAATATGAGTCCTCGGGTGGTGGTTGTTCTGTGCTTTTAAAATAACAGTCCTCAGCTTGTGTTTTAATTGCCCTTTCAGAACAAAAGCTCTCAACTTGTATTTGTTCAGTGCTTTCAGAATAAGAGTCCTCAGATTGTGTTTGTTTAGTGCCTTCAGAATAAGATTCTTCAAGCTGTTTTTGTATGGTGCTTTCAGAATAAGAGTCTCCAGGTTGTGTTTGTTGTGTGTTTTCAGAATAAGAATCCTCAGGTTGTGTTTGTTTAGTGCCTGCAGAATAAGAGTCTTTAGAGTGAGTTTGGTCTGTGCTTTCAAAATACGAGTCCTTGGATTGCGCTTGTTCTAAGTTTTCAAAATAAGACTTCCCAGGTTGTGTTTCTTCTGAGCTTTCAGAACAAGAGTCTTCAGGTTGTATTTCTTCTGAGTTTTCAGAACAAGAGCCCTCAGGTTGTATTTCTTCTGGGTTTTCAGAACAAGAGTCCTCAGGTTGTGCTCGTTTAGAGTCTTCAGTATAAGATTCTTCAGTCTGTTTTTGTATTGTATTTTCAGAATAAGAGTCCTCTGGTTGTGTTTGTATTTTCTTTTTAGAATAAGAGACTTCAAGAAGTTTTGGTGTTTCAGAATAAGAGTCCTGGGGTTGTGTTTGTATTGTGTTTTCAGAATAAAAGTTCTCAAGTTGGATTTGCATTCTGTTTTCAGAATAAGAGTCCTCAGCGTGTGCTTGTTCTGTGCTTTCGGAACAAGAGTCCTCAGGTTGGGTTTGTTTAGTGTCTTCAGAATAAGAGTCCTCAGGTTGTGTTTGTGTTGGCTCTTCAGAATAAGAGTTGAAGGCATTCCAAAGGGTGAAGTTTTCACAATAAGAGTTTTCCCAGGGTGTTTGTTGCGGAATTTCAGAAGAAGGCTTCTCAATGTGAGACTGCTGTCCTTCAATCTCTGCAGAAAAGTCAGTTTGTGTTTTCTGCAAAATATGTCCACAGCATAAATCTTTGAGAGGTAATTTTTGTGTTATTTCCCAGTGTGATGCAGAATGTGATTGCAATTTGTTGTTTCCACACAAAAAAATGTTTTGCTTGATATTTTCACAAAAAAAATCTTTTGACTTTGTTTTATTTTCAGAACAAAAGTCCTCGGAACATGTTTCTTTTAGAAAATGTTGACCGAATTCTTTAGGATGTAGTTTTTGAGTCACATTTTCAGAATAAGTGTCTTCAGAATGTGTTTCTTGGCAGACAGTTACACAATAAGACTTCTCCAAAAGTGATTGCAGTGCTACATCTTCAAAATAATAGTTCTCAGGCTGTATTAATTGTTTGACATTTTCATAATAGGAAGCCCCCGGTGGAGAGTTTTGTGATTTATTTTCACAATAGGAGTCCTCAGAATGTGAATTCATTGAGGAGTTTTCACAATAAGAGTCTTTAAATTTTGATTTTTGTTTGATATTTCCACAATAAGAGTTGTCCGCGGAATATGATAGCAGTTTGTCATTTACACAAAAAGAATCCTCAGGATGTGACAACAGTGAAACGTTTTCACAATAATAGAGTCCAAGATGAGTTTCCTGTTTGATAACTTCACAATAAGGGTCTCTATGGTGTGGTTTCTGTTCTTTTTTTAAGAAAGAGACTTTATCCGTGTACGCTTCTGCACATCCTTTTATTTTCTCAGCTTCCTTCTTGATCTCTTTAATCACTTCCTCCTGTTCCTCCTTTTGATCCTGCTGTGCTAATACCTGCACCTCCTCCACCTCCATCTTCTGTCCCACTTCTTCGATTCCCTCAATCTTTTCACTTTCCTCCACTTCCTCTTTGCTCCTGCACTTTGCCTCCTGTAATTGTTGCTGTTGTTTCCCTTCTACCACCTCCTCTTCCTTAAAAAGTGACTTCACAAAATCCTGTTTGACCTTCATCTGCTCCCTACTCTGGTCCCTCTGCACCTCCTCTCCCACCTCCTTGTCCCCCCCACCCCTGTCCTGCTGATGGCAGGCATCAGGTTCAGTCTTCAAGTTCAGACTCCTGTCAAAATCTTTACCTTCAGATTGCTCCTCGGCTTCAGGAGGATCAGAGGATGGGGCAGCATTGAGGAGGAGGCCACCGCAGGATGCTGGGTTGAAGTTCTCCTCAAGGAGTATGGAGCAACACAGAGTGCTGGAGCTGACTTCCAAACTGGAGGAGGAGGGTGAGTTACCTTCGGACGAGTGTGTGTTACTATTCCAGTGTATGTTGCTGTCAGAGGAGTGTATGTTAATGTTAAAGTGTACATTACAGTCAGAGTATATGCTACTGTCAGAGTGTACATTACAGTCAGAGTGTATGTTACTGTCAGAGGAGTGTATGTTACAGTCAGAGTGTATGTTACTGTCAGAGTGTATGTCACTGTCAGATGACTGTATGTTACAGTCAGAGGAGTGTATGTTACAGTCAGAGGATTGTATGGTACAGTCAGAGGATTGTATGTTACAGTCAGAGGATTGTATGTTACAGTCAGAGTGAATGTTACTGTTAGAGTGTATGTCACTGTCAGAGGATTGTATGTTACTGTCAGAGTGTAAGTTACAGTCAGAGGAGTGTATATTACAGTCAGAGTGTAAGTTACAGTCAGAGGAGTGTATGTTACAGTCAGATGATTGTATGTTAATGTCAGATGATTGTATGTTACTGTCAGATGATTGTATGTTACAGTCAGAGGATTGTATGTTACAGTCAGAGGATTGTATGTTACTGTCAGAGGAGTGTATGTTACAGTCAG